GGGAATAAATAAGGCACATTCCCAAAATCCCAACCCATGCCCAGATCCAGGGATTTGGATTTGGCACATCCACCTCCAAGTGGGGAACAAACAAGGCACATTCCCCAAAATCCCAACCCATGCCCAGATCCAGGGATTTGGATTTGGCACATCCACCTCCAAGAGGGGAATAAACAAGGCACACTCCCCAAAACCCAAACTCATACCTGGTTATAAACCAGGATTAACATTAAAGCCATGCTGGGATAAAAAAGTGGCTCCAGCCTCAGTCAGCAGCAAGTATTTTATTGTAGAAAAATACATTTTATTTCTGCAGTGCTGGGGAATATTCAGCAGTGAGGGGTTGTCGAGGTGTTAGGAATCCCCAGGAATTAATGGGATATTTGGAATTAGGAGTGGGAGGGACACAGGGGTCAGTGGGACACGAGCTCACTCGAGAGCTCTTTGATCTTTGCTTCATAAAAATGTACCAAAAAATGTAAAAAACAACTCTCAAAAAACCCAAACTCTCAAAACCCCAACAACTAAATGGCTAATGAGCCTCTAAAATGTCTGGGTTTCTAGAAAACGCCTGGGTTTTTAGAAAAATTAAATTTTAGAATTTAAATAGAATTAATTATAGAAAAATTAAAAACTCAGCTGGATTTTTCTTCTTCATATTCAGCTTTTTCTCTTCAGCAAGTTCCTCTTTCCTGATTTAGGGCATTTCAGAGGGCAGACACCCAGGAGGGTGAAATTCCCCCCAAGGGAATTTTCCCAGAGCACTTTGGTGCCCTTGGGAAGAGCAGCAGAACGGAAAAGGGAAAAAAGCCAATCCCTGGATTTTGTAACAGCCCAAAAACACCCGGAGCTTTTTGGCATTTCAGCCCTTTGTGGTCACGTCCTCACAATGAACAGGGAAAGTGGGATGTGACACAGCCAATAAAGGAAATAATACTGAGTAATAGAAATAAGTAATCTTAGAAAAATCACTAATAATAATTTAAAACCGTATAAATAAATACATAAAAATAATGGATATAATAATATAAAAAAATACAAATAATTAATAGAATAAAATAAATAGAAGAATAAATTATATTAGGGTTAATATAAAAAATCAAGTGTAACACAAATAATGTATAAAAATAATACAAATATTAAAAAATACTGTAAAAGATAACTATATTAGAATATATAATATGCAATATCATATAATATATAGTAAAAATATAAAAATATAAAAAATATTCAAATTTTAAATAATATAGTAATGTGAAGATAAGTATAATTTCACTATATGAATTACAATTAATTATAGAAAATAATATAGTAATATAATATTAAAATATACTATAATATAATAGGTCTATATATTATATTATATTATATTATATTATATTATATTATATTATATTATATTATATTCGTAATTACATAAATTAGTAATTACATAAATTATTATATTATTAATATTATGTATTTGTAATATAATATAATATAATATAATATAATATAATATAATATAATATAATATAATATAAACTATGATAGCAACAATATAAATAAAATATAAAATACTGTCAGTATCAATATAATACATATACTACAAATAATAATATAAAACACTATAAAGTATAGCTAAATTTATAATAATATCTAATAATTTATACTAATAAATTGAATAATATAAAATACTGTAAGTATCAATATAATACATACATTACGAATAATAAAAATAATCATAGAAAACACTATAAAGGATAGCTAAACTTATAGTATCAAATAGTTTATAGTTTATACTATCTAATAAATATAAAATATTCTAAGTATCAATATAATACATACATTACGAATAATAAAAATAATCATATAAAACACTGTAAAATATAGCTAAATTGATAATACCGAAGAATTTATCATTGACATTACCCAATAACTGTATGTGAAACAATGCCATCTGAAGTACGGGAAAGCATCCCAGCTGAGCGCTGCCCGGTGCCGCGGGGCTCTGAGCTGCCGTTCCCTCAGGCATCACGGAGATGCTGAGCCAGCTGCTCTCGGGCTGGGTGGCCGACCACGAGTGGCCCAAGAGGTACCAGCTCCACGTCACCTACCTGCTCCTCGGCGGGGTCACCAACCTGCTGGCGCCGCTGGCCACCACCTTCCCCCTGCTGCTCGCCTACGCCGTGGCCTTGGCCAGCTTCTGCGGGGCCTTCATGGCCCTGGTGCTGCCCGTGCTCGTGAGTCCTGCGCCGGGCAGGGGGATGGGGACAGGGGGACAGGGGGACAGAGGGACGGGGGGACAGAGGGACAGGGGGGACAGAGGGACAGGGGGACAGGGGAACAGAGGGACAGGACAGAGGGAGAGAGGCAGGGGGACAGGGGGACAGGACAGGGGGACAGGACAGATGGACAGG